GGTGGTGCACAACAAACATTTCAAATTCGTTATCGTCTTTCAACAGATAATCATTATATATATGAAAATGTACCGTATGATATACAATCATTTGATTTAATAAATTTAAAATTAGGAAGTCAATATCATTTAAGTATACGTTCAAATAATTCTTATCATTTAAGTAAATGGACAGATGAAATAATTATAACAACATTAAATTATTTACCAATATTAAAATTTCATTTATCTGAAATATCATCAACAAATATTTCATTTACACTTTTAATTATTATTGCTATAATTGGTTTTATTATTCTTTTTGTTAATATAATACTTATTTGTTTTTTTATTATAAAACGTCGACAATTAAATATTACAAGTGAAAATTCATCAACAACAGGAACAAATGAAACAGAAACAAATACAATTGATATATTTCAACCAATTCCATCAAATTTTTTTTTAACAACAACAACAACAAATAGTTATAAAAAATATGAAGATGATGATATTAAACGACCATTTGTTTCATCATATTCATCAGGTAAATTTTATATGTGAAAATTTTTTTATTTATTATATTTTTAATTTTTTTAGATAATAGATCATCTTATGCAAGTCTAAAGGTAAATTTATCTTATTTATTTATTATTATTATTATTATGTTGAATATTTTTTAGAAGAATTGTGTTTCTCCATATGATAATGTTCGATTACATCATTGTTATCCAGCAGATATTGATAATAATCTTGTAACATATCGAAGTTTTAAAGATGGTATTAGTTATTCAACAGATATGCATGATTGTATTCGAACTGAACTTGTTTAATTATATTATTCTACAGTGATTAGAAAAGATATGCATTATTGTCTTTTCTTTTTTTTTTCTTTTTATTTTTACATGAATAAATATGATTTTTTTTTGTGTGTTTCATTGAAGGAGAATTGTCAAATAAATTAACTATGAGTTCAATTATGATTTTTTTTTGTCTTCTTGTTATTCAAAGTAATATTGTCATGATGAAGTCTTGACGTTTTTGATTAATCATGGAGCACGTCTGTTTTCAGTATCGGAAAACTAACATGTTTTTATAGTGAGAATTATTGCCTCGAGCAATTGCATCTATGTGAATATTTTCTGCGTAATTTCGACTGTGTAATATTTTCTTGTTAATATTGATCAAAGTATATTTTAATCAAATCTTATTTTTTTATTATTTGTCTTGTCTTGATAAAAATCAATAACAACTATATTTTATGAATTATCGATTTCTCATATTGTCAAACATTATCATCTTTAACTAGTGTCAGATTTTTTTTGTTGGTCATGTTGCCCTTTTTATTCTTATTATATTCTTTTCAACATTAAACAAAAAAGAAAACACAATCTAAGAGTGAAGTCAATTTTCTATTATAAAACAAATTAGTCTTATCAAAGTTTGTCACAATTTTTCTCTTCGTATAATATTTACTTTTTGGACTCCAGCTGATATAATTATTTTGACAACTTCGATAGAAAGATCACAAACATATCAATATCAACGATAGGATATTATATCTTTTAGCTTCTAAATATCTAAGCATCCAACCAAGATAATCAAAATAAAATAATAATAATTTATATTTAAATTCATATTGTAATTATTAATGATGTATCTGAAATATCAATTCATTTACAAAAAAAGACGAATGTTTTCTTTCAGTTATATAACTGTCTACATTATCAACTAGGATATCTTAGTTTTCTAAAAATAACTAAGAAATCAGAACTATACTATCTTGAAGATGGATGACGGTGAGAGTTGTGTTAAGGGTTATGATGATTGTCATAGTACATCATTAGGATGAAACGACTAGCCACTGTTATCATAATCGGAAAAATACTAGTATTAACGAAATAATATTTCTCATTTTTATCTCTGATATCTACTATTCTAGTAACGATTTTCAATTATGCGTACAAATAAATCATTGATTTTTACTTTTCTATTATTTGTCATAGGTTATTTTTTATCAAAAATTAGAAATTAACAACAAAAAGATTTAGTAAAAATTTAGTAACAATTTGAAATTTACTACGATCTCTATACGACGAATCATTTATATATATCAATGTGACAAACAAAAATGAATATCTAATAACTATAGAAGATTATTATATGCAATTGAAATGATTGTAATATTTAAAATGAATAAGATCTTTGCTAATATCCTAGTATTTGTATTCAAAACAGTTACTAATGATTTGTGAAGTTTGTTGTATTTTATCCTATCATAGTTGATATTATATGTTTTTATCTTATAGAATTTCTTTGAATAAATAAACATCTGAAATAATATAAAAGAAATAATCAGTTTATTCAAATTAACAATACATATGAGAAAATCAAATGAATGAATATGAAATTGAAGAAATTTTTATTTTCATTCTTTTTATAAAAATAATTATCTATACAAGAGAATATTATTATCATACTTTGCCATCATGTACTCAATCAAACGATTACAAAATAATCTATTTAAAGAATCAAAGGAAGTTTCATACATTCATTATCATTAGTCATTTCTATGTAATATAATGCTTCATTTAATATTTCTGACAACGGAATAGAATAACGCTCAAAATTAATATAACTTTCTTCTTTAATGTTTATTTTTCTATATGATCAGTAAGTAATTGTAATAAGATAGACTAAGACAAAAACATTGATGGGTTGATTTTGATCTCAGATTTAGGCCTGGAAATTTTTGTATTGACTAGATCCAGGGTCGATCTAATGGATAATACTGTAAAAGTAGCAGCCAATTATGAATTGATTATTATACGATTATCGTCAACATTGCTTGAGAAATGTCGAGGTTGTGCTAGTAGCAGAATACAAATAATCGATGAAAAGTATCCCGCATCTTTACAGTGACGAATAGATCTAGGCTAAGAAATTTCGTTATAATTAGAAGCATAATTCAGATCCAAGATTACTGCATTTGACAAACTCTCTACTACTGATTAATAAATTTACTTATTTTGTTTTGAATATGATATAAATAAAGTAAGAATTGTTCTAATAATAAATGAAATATTTCAAGGAGAAAATTATCATGAATGAATTATACAATTGAATCATTTTTGTATTCTTTAGATTGAAAATAAATATAGATAAATCATTATGTTTTATAATAACATATGTCATATTTCTACTTTGAATCTTATTCAAATAAAAAGAAAAAACAGATTTCTGACAAAATCTTTTCACTATCAATATTTACTGATCAGATAATCTTTTTATGATTTTAATGCATATTTAATTAAAATACACTCAATGATTAATAATTTCATGGTAATGGATGTAGATGTTAATAATCAAATTTTCTATACATATGAAACTTCATTCAAGTCAATAATTGCTAAATAAATCTCGAATACTCGAGGGCAATCAGTACTATCGTATAATAGATAAAATCTTAAAATAGAAGATCGATTATGAAAGTCATTTACAATATCTTATTTTGATCTTCATCAATAACATCAAAAGAAAAGTTCTTCTGCAATTATAGACGAACACCTGTTAGTTTCTAATTCATATAATACAATTTAAGGTTATATTAACTATATACATATGATTGAAGAAAATGTTGATCATGTCAGAATTTCGAAATATATTAAAAATTTAACATCATTTTTCAAACTCTCATTCTGATGGATTTCTAATTTGAATTATATATGACATACTTTTCAAAAAAATGTATCAAGCCTCTCAATTTTATTCAAATGAATCACAATATCAACCATTAATTTTCTTTTATACAATGCGTGTATAACCCTGTTAGAAACTATCATCTTTCTATTTATATTATTCTTTACTTATTGCGATTGCTCTCAACGATCACAAGAGATTACTGATAATAGATCAAATAACTTTTGATGAACACATATTAATTATAATTGTTCAATGTCAAATATAAGAACAGGTTAATAAAAGAGAATAAAAAAATAGAAAGAAAGAATCTATACTCACAGAAAAATAAACATACAAGCCAAATGCTTGATCAGTTGTTGCCTTGGTCTATTTTGCTCGTTTTTCTAATTATAGGTTTTTATAATTGCATGTGTTATTGCATGTCTTAGACAAAGCAAGATCTGTCAACAATATAACCTTGACTAAAAGTTATGTTCTTCCTTCATACATACATTCTTGTTGACTTTGTAGTAAATGTCTAATCTCAATAATATGCATGCATTTATATATATATATACTAAGATAAAAGGTTCAGATAATCTATGAATGAATAATATTCATTTTCTAGTAAAGAATAATTATTTAACAAAAAGAAAAACGAATATATGTATATATAAAAAATTTTTTTTTTTATTCTAAATAAAAATAGTTATTTTATACTCATGAGTAATCCTAAATATCCAATACTACATCAATTTGCTTTCATACTCTATGCTTATATGTTAATAGTAGACAAATAATAGTCATCGCAGCTGATAGACAAGCCACAAAATGTTAATATTGCGTGCTTAAATCAATACAATGACGACGAACAAGATAATAAGTTAACATACGACTTCTTTCTTATATTTTTATTTTTTTCTGGAATAAATGACAGTTTCTTTTTTCTTTTCCCTCTCTCAATGCATAGTGGCAAGAGGGCAAGAGAGCGAGAGATATATAAAATAGCCTAGAATACTGTTGTCGATTGGTGTAGCGGCGATTTTTCTAAGCTTATTTATCATTTGTGGATATATGCCGACTTTGTCGGTCCCTCTTTCTCTTGCTTTTTTGCATACGTATCATCCATTAGGTATAAATTATGTCAGCAAAAAGAAAAAAAGAAGAAAAAGAACGAAAGACCAGATATACTGTTATAGAAAAAAAAAAAAAAGATCTTTTCTCTATAATCGAACCATATAATAGCAAAGCATGGCGTTCTATTTAATGAAATAGTTCTAACATATTTACTAAACAAAAGCAAACAAAGAAGAAAAAAAGAAAACAATCAAGTTCAATGAATGAGCGGTGAGAAGAAACGATATCGATGGCGACGTCGTCCAGTATTAGTTGAAGAAAGTTTAATTATTAATTCAACATTAACAACTATAACAACAAGAGATAAAGAAGAAAAACATACTGAAAATATTCAACGAAAATGGTATAATAATAATAATAATAATGATGATGAAGATATTCAATTAAAAACTTTATCATCTAACGAAACAATTTCAGAAAAAATTGATAGAATTCTTAAAAAAATAAATGCTTGGACAAATGATTCATCAATACCAACAAGAAATAATAATAATAATAATAATAATAATAATAATAATAATACAAACAATTCTACTCAACAAAAAATGCCTTTTAATAAAACAAAAAATTCATCATCATCATCATCTAATCATGAAAATATTCAACGAAGAACAAATAATAAAAAAGCAAATTCTACTGCATCATCTGATACATTTCGTCAACGTTGTTCATCATCAACATATGAAGATTCACCAATGATTAAACTTGAAAAATTAACAAATCCTCGACCATATTCGATGACATTTATTCAAGAACCATTATCAATTAGTCCATCATATAATAAAAATCCAATATATGAAAAACCAAGTTTAACAAAACGAATATTTCATCGAGAAAATTCATGTGATCCTAATCAACGTCGATCAATATGTTCACAAAATACAAATTTAACATCTTTATCATCAACATATGGTTCAGATTTTTTCTATCCATTTACATCGGATCAAGAACAACATGATTATGATAATTTACGTTTTATACAAAATTCTTCTCATCAACAATATGATCCATTTCCAACTGTTCTCGTTGACTGTCAACGTTGTAGTCGAAGTGTTGATCGATCATTATTACGTGATATATCATGTCAAGTACCATCCGATGAAGAATCGTCTGAAGATATTCAATTAGAAAATCGTAAAACTACAAGATCTTCTCCTTTATATATGTCACCACGATCGTCACCATTACTTTGTCATCCACCAATGGCTGATAGTTTGTTAGCTCCATATCATTTTCGACGAAAACATTCTTTGTCATCATATGTTGATATACACAATCGTTCGAAATCTGTTCCATCTTCATCATCAACAACATCATCAACATCAAGTCAAAAAATACATTTATTACCAAGATTTTCTCCATTACCAACAACATCCGATTTAAATTCTATACCATCGACTACAACACTTCTTCGTTCAATTAAAACATCAATTAATGCAATGAAAAAACGCCTGAAAGAAATTCGACGTTTGTCTGAGGTTGGTATATCTTCTTTTTTTTTTTTTTGTTTTTCATTAATGACAATTAGTTATATATATGATTAAGAAACGGAAAGGAACAAAACAAAAAAATGCAACATCTATTTCTTAGTCTTTGCACACCTGCATCATTCATTATTTTTATCAAATCACACGACATTGTGTAAAGAAAAGAAAATCGTTGCCTATAGATAATATTTTACTACCTGTGTGCAAATCTTTTTATTTCTAATGCCTGCTTTTATATGGACGTGTTAGTAAAGAACAGAGAGATTTCTTTCTTTTTTTCTCTTTCCTCTTTAATATTTTCTTTTTCTTTTACGATCATCACATCACATCAACATAGTAGCAGTAAATGAAAAGATTAAATAGATAGACCGTCAGTCGTTATTATCTCATTTATATGTGAACATACACACACACACACACATCATATAGTCAGTCTTCATTTGCCGACAAGAAGAAAAGAAAAAAACCCAGAACAACATAGAATTACTACTACTACTACTATTATTATTGAGTAAGTATTCTATTAGAATTTTGAAATTTATCATTTTTCTTTTATCTATTTATTTTCGAAAAATCTATCTGAAGAAATAATGTCTGTTTATAGAAATAAATAATTTTCTATTATCACATTGAAAATATATCTATAAGTTTTATCAATAGTCAGTTAATCTTATCGATATGTCTTATTATTTATTGCCCGAAGGTGACATGAAAATTTTGGAATATTTTATATATTTATTTTTCTTCTTAAATTATTGACTTACATTAATAAAGAACAATACTTGCACTTAGCAAGTTATAAAAAAATTTTTTTTTTTTGAAATATAATTAATCTATATATATATATATAAACTACATGCAATGAAAGTCTCTTGTGGAAGAAAAGACTAGATTAAGAAAGAACTAACTGTTGTTGTTGTTTATTCAAGTAAATGATCTTTGACATAATTACTACTGCTAGTGCTATAACAATCTTGTTTGCGTTTTTCTTTTTCTTTTTTTTATTTCTAATATACCCATCGGAAAAAAGAAACTGAGCAAAAATTCATCTATATACTACTAATGTTTTTCTTAGGCGAGAACTGCTTTTAACAAATGATTTTATTCTTTAATTCAGTTTATCGAACAGATCGATTAGCACTCTTCGCATGCACACTTCTCGATTGAATTAGCTATGTGTGCGTGTTTGCATGTATGTCTTGTTGAAATTCTTCGGCATCTTCGTCACTGTTGTCGTTATTTCTTGTTAAGGAAAAAAAAACTGCTTCAACCCATGATTCTCTTGTCTTGAACAGCGGCAAAAACAAGATTTTTTGCTTTTTTTATATAGAAATATTCTCTTCTTTAGCTTGTATGTGTGTCTCCACCAGGTTTTCCCTTTCCTCTCATCATTCAAGGGAAAGTAATGAATGTAACACTGTCTATGTGCATGAGAGAACAAGAAAGCAAAGGGAAAAAAAAACTTGATGACAATAGAAAAATGAAAGCATGAAAAAGCAAACGACGATAAAATAGAAAGCAAACAAATAAAAACTTGATATATACACATATACATATAAACAAAATAACTGAACCATATCTTATTAGAATAACAAACGTATATAGTGGCATAAAAGTGAATTGTAAACAAATATATTTTTATTATGATATCAACTATATAATAGTTATATTGACTTTGATATATTTTTTGTTTCAATGAATTTTTTTTCACAAAAAAAAAAAAGAAATTAAAGAATTAAACAAAAATAATTGTCGTGATTAATATGATGATGTCATTGTTTTGATGATAGAAGTAAGAATAATCGTCGTAGTAAATATGATAAGAAGAAAAAAAAAAAAAAAAAAAAAAAGAAGGCCGACGACTACCAAAAACAACATCACTGAGTCTTGTGCGTCGTTGACAACGACAACACGCACACCATCACACGCGTTCGCACAAGAGACACAGCGAGAGAGAGAGAGAGCAAGAGAGAAAAGAGAGAAGAGTATTATTTAATAAATAATCGTCGATGCTGATTTCATTTTTTCTTCTTCGCTACACAAGCATTTTGCACTATACGTGACTATCGAGATGGCGTACACTTGACTGGACGGAAAAACAGATAGTACTTGAGTTTTCGTCGCCATCAATTTATCCACTGATACAAAACTTCCGTCTGGACGACTTTAGGTTTATTTATTGTCAAATATTATCAGAACTTTTACTTATTATTATTATTATTATTATTATTATTATTATTATTATTATTATTTGTACATCGTTTAGTATTTTATGGAATTCTGGCGTAAATTGAAATTACGATGGGTAACTACCTAAATTTTATAAATAATAGTATGCGTGATGAATCGATCGATCGAAGAGAATGATGAAGAAGCTATTACTTTTTTTTTTTTTAATTAATATTTTAATATATATATATATATATATTCAAATATCGATATTTATTTATTGTTATAGGATTCAAACGTAACAACCGTCTTAGACGATTATACGGCACGCAGTTCACAAGAATTAACTGTAAACAAAGGTCAACATGTTCGTGTCGTTCAAAAACAACTACCTAATGCGCCTGATTGGTGTCTTATTCGTTTATTAAACGAACAACATCATCAACAACAAAATCAATCGACTTCATCTTCACTTGCAACATCATCAACAACTATTACAAGTGGATCAGGAGATTTATCATTAACACCATTTACAAAATATATCGAAGGACTTGTTCCAGCAGCTATTCTTAAATCAACTAGACCATCTTCATCAAATATTCAACTACCAGGACCACCGCCACCATTATCTAATCTATTAACTAGTAGTAAAAGTGACCAAGGTAAAAAAAAAAAAAGAAAAAAACATATCGATTATTATTCAAGAAATATTCTTATTTATTATAATCAAATATAGAATAGAAAATATTCAAGAATCGAAATAGAGTATCCCCGTTTGGGAGATCAAAATACTGAGTATTTATTAGTTTTTTTGCTCCGATAGAAAATTCTTATGCTATATAGCTTAAATCAATAATATATATGTAGATAATGATAGTCTGTCATTGTAGAACTTCATTCTAGAAAACTGACATACTATAGAAGAAAAAAAAAGTCATTTGACATATATGTCATGATAAAAATTGTCTTATTCATCTTAAATGATGATAATTGATTGTTACAGTAGAATTATTAAGACAAAGAATTAATATGAAATACACACACATACACAAAAAAAATGTTTTTAAGTTAATCTCGACACTTGTCTTTTTTTGTTAGTCATATACAGCATTAGATCAAGTTGATTATTGTTTTCATGTTAATATGACGAATAATATCATTTTTTTTTTTTGTTTTGTAAAAACCTATAAATGATATAATAAAATTGCTTATTTATTTGACTAATAAGATGTTCATCGACTATGACTTGTGAAGGTTCTATTAATAGAAATTACATTCAAATAAATTATTTATTCTTATTAATAGATAATATTACTATACAAGATTCCATTCGATCGAGAAAAAAAAAAAATTAAAAATAAACATTAAAATAAATTTTCTATTTGATTTATATAATAGTATACAAGGCTAATCAAACTTTCTTATACGAAAAAAGATAAATATATATATAGTATATATTCAAGTACTATCAATTGATAATTATAATATATAATTTTCATTGTATATAAGAAAACAAATTATAAGTACCTTTCATTTTGCCTAGAGATAAAAAGAAAAAGTAGTTTATTATATAATTACATCGTATGAATTATTCTCATTAGAATATAAAAAACAAAAAAATTATTTTGTTACTTCTCAAGACATAACACATCTACAAAGCTGTTTGTTTTGTCTTTTTTTAATCCTAGTTTATGACGGCTTTTTTTTCTTACTAACTTTTATAATTCTTTCGATATTGAATTTAGTTTATATTTGATTATATGTAATAATTAGTACGAAAATTATAAACATGAAAAGACAAAAGAATTTTCGGAATCGATACTAATGTAATTTCTACTTAGGATATGAATGTTTTTTGAAATTGCAGATTATTATTTAATGTTTATATATTATACTTCTGGAAATTATAATTAATGGTTCGTTACATCTCACTTGATTTAATAAGTTTTAATAAGTAGAAATTAAATATTTTGA